ATCCTATAGAAATGTCCGAGACAGCGAATTTCGTAAACACACTTTTGATCATAACTTTTGAACGGCTCAACCGATTTCGTTCATTCTTTTTTTATTCGATTTCTCTTGCAAATATCTATCTGAAAAATTATAACACATTACTATAGATTTGCTGAAAAAATGTTTTGGTCAAAAAACTGAATTTCTCTCGGACTTTCTATTGAAAAATAAGAAATTTGAAAAACATTTTTTCTGATGAATAAAATCTTTTGATTATTATTGTTTTATTCAATAGATCACGCAAATTTACACAAAATAAACTAAAAGTCTTCGAAATCCATCCAGCCATTCAAAAGTTATGAAGGAAAATGTGACTTGAAAATTCCTATAGAAAGTCCGAGCGGCAAAATCCTATAGAAATGTCCGAGACAGCGAATTTCGTAAACACACTTTTGATCATAACTTTTGAACGGCTCAACCGATTTCGTTCATTCTTTTTTTATTCGATTTCTCTTGCAAATATCTATCTGAAAAATTATAACACATTACTATAGATTTGCTGGAAAAATTTTTTTGGTCAAAAAACTGAATTTCTCTCGGACTTTCTATTGAAAAATAAGAAATTTGAAAAAAATTTTTTCTGATGAATAAAATCTCTTGATTATTTTTTTATTCAATAGATCACGCAAATTTACACAAAATAAACTAAAAGTCTTCGAAATCCATCCAGCCATTCAAAAGTTATGAAGGAAAATGTGACTTGAAAATTCCTATAGAAAGTCCGAGCGGCAAAATCCTATAGAAATGTCCGAGACAGCGAATTTCGTAAACACACTTTTGATCATAACTTTTGAACGGCTTAACCGATTTCGTTCATTCGTTTTTTATTCGATTTCTCTTGCAAATATCTATCTGAAAAATGATAACACATTACTATAGATTTGCTGAAGAAAATGTTTTGGTCAAAAAACTGAATTTCTCTCGGACTTTCTATTGAAAAATAAGAAATTTGAAAAAATTTTTTCTGATGAATAAAATCTCTTGATTATTTTTTTATTCAATAGATCACGCAAATTTACACAAAATAAACTAAAAATCTTCGAAATCCATCCAGCCATTCAAAAGTTATGAAGGAAAATGTGACCCAAAAATTCCTATAGAAAGTCCGAGCGGCAAAATCCTATAGAAATGTCCGAGACAGCGAATTTCGTAAACACACTTTTGATCATAACTTTTGAACGGCTCAACCGATTTCGTTCATTCTTTTTTTATTCGATTTCTCTTGCAAATATCTATCTGAAAAATTATAACACATTACTATAGATTTGCTGAAGAAAATGTTTTGGTCAAAAAACTGAATTTCTCTCGGACTTTCTATTGAAAAATAAGAAATTTGAAAAACATTTTTTCTGATGAATAAAATCTTTTGATTATTATTGCTTTATTCAATAGATCACGCAAATTTACACAAAATAAACTAAACATCTTCGAAATCCATCCAGCCATTCAAAAGTTATGAAGGAAAATGTGACTTGAAAATTCCTATAGAAAGTCCGAGCG